TATGGTTCGTTCTCACTTGTTCTTGGTGTGAAGCAAGTGGGGAGGGAGAGAACAAATTTCCGTAGTTGAGGGGGGCAAGGTGGAGGAGAATTTTTTTTGCAAGGCTATTGATCTTTTACTCAATGAAAACAAAAAACATTATCCTTCTTTTGCAAGTAGAAATAATTCATTTGCATAAATGTATAACTGATATAGAACATAAATTCCTCGTTCCATTCTCCAGGGGTGAGGGAGGGAGGAGGGGGGGAATAGTGATAGCTACCTGCTCAACGGATCCGGCTCTCCAAAGATTCGGTTTTGATGGGTAAAGAGGCGATTGAACATCTCCAGTCTGTGTGATTACCGTACCACGCTGTACACCATGAGCCGGCATGTATACGGTACTGGCATAAACGTTACCTAAAGAGTGTAGAATGTTAAAGAGGAGAAGGAAGGGGGGGGGGCAGTGCCCGTTACCCAAGAGGCAGCTCATATAACCCATTTGTGACCTAAACTCCCGCCCTACCGTACTCGTCTCAAAAGGACCAATCAACGTGATCGAGTACGGTAATGGGCGGGAGTTTAGAAATAGATTTCTCGCTTACAAATGAAACATGCAATCTGCCGCTGGGGCAGGGGCTCCTCAATTTTTAGCCATTATACACAAAAGAAAGTTGCATATATCAAAAGCAGTGACTCGGGGAAGTTGCAATTACGAGCTTTCATTTCTCCTTAGCCTTTTGGATGTGGTGAGGCCAAGGCTGTGCTTGAAAAGTCGAAATTGCATTTCATGACGTTTTCCGGCCTGGAGATTGCTGAAGGGGATGGGCGAGCGATCGCCAACTGAGTCGCAATTGGCTGCCTGAGCTGATCAGCCAATTGCCGCCCAAATGGGTGGAGTTACAGTATCCTGCAGCGAGTCGCTGTTTTTGGCGGATATCCCTCGCCCAGTTCCCTCAGCAATCTTCAAGGATGAAAAACACCGAAAAAGCAATTTTTTGACTTTTCAAGCACCGTCTCGGCCACAGCGGATCCAGAAGGCCATGTAGGTGCAAAAGGCTCGCACTCGCATTTTCCCGGGCCACTGCCTTTAAGCCGAACAACCCTTTCACTTACCGTTAGCAGTCCCATTTGGAGCTACTTCGGCAGGATCGGAATAGAGAATAGCACCAATGGCGCCATATTTTTGAGCAGTAGCCACCTGATCTCCACGGAACATGCTACCATATCGAATGAGAGCTATGGTATTCTGAAATCATTGGTTCAAATAAGGAAGTCATTAAAAGTGAGGGTTTATGAAAACCCACCTTCACGTTGATACCGTGGCTTTGGAGTATCTGAAACTCTTTCTCTGTAGCAAATCCGCAGTAAACCACATCTCCAACTACCGTGCCACTAGGAGAGAAAGCCACCCATTGTATACCAGCGCCTAGAAGCTATTTCACTTTCTCTTTGAGAAAAAACACGTAGTTAAAATGACCTTTGTCACTTTGCTCATCAAGAACGATAGGTGGGCTGATTCCTTCACTTGTGAAAATAGCTTTTCCATCGGTGTCCTCAATCGTCATCAGGTTCGGATTCGCTGCATCCGGAGGATAGGAAAGGAGAACGTTGTATTTTACGGTGTGAACATCTAGAATCGTAAGGTTGTGTTTTTAGGAATATTTTGATCAGAACCGTTGAATGTAGGATCTTCCCTGGTATTCACATCTGTTTTCTATTTTCTATTTATTCAAAACGCTCGAAGCGTGACATCAGTTACTATATGATATACCTAAAAGATTAAGCAACAATAAGAGAAAAGCAAAGATACCTACAATTTTTTCAGACCAGTTTATTTACAAATTCGAGAAAAAGCATAGGGACGATTAATCAAAATAATAAAAGAGAAGAGAAAAACCCTATTATCCCCCCCCCCCCCCTAATAGAAAATTTTACGTAATAAGGCACCATTAGCAAACTTTTTCGGTTGGGGAAAGCAGGCACGAAAATTCTCCTCAAGAAAGGAGATTACGCTTGCCATGCTCTCTGGTTTTTTTCTACAATACATCTTCGAACTATCACACACTCTCCGAAAAAACTCCTTTTAAGCAGCCAGTTGGTACCAAAAATTTTTACAAAAAAAATTATCGAGCCACACCATTTGCAATACTTTCATTTTTTGATACGTGGAGATTAGAGAAGAAAAGTGTGAGGACCTGACGTTTAAGTTAAAGATTCATTTTGTAAACGTACTTTCCAATCCTGCGTCAATATACTTCTCCACGATGGATTTGCGCACTTTGGCATTGTTGTCCGTTCCTGCCATATGTGGCAGCTTTGTAAAATCTCGAAGATTCTGTTTTATACGATCAGGATCGATACGGCTCTGGATCATTTGTGAAATCGCTTTCGAATCAGTAACTATAATTAGAAATTGTAGCCTTTAAACAAGCCTTTTTCCTCTTTCTACTGGAAATGAAAGTTGACCCACCAGTGTGAGTAGTGGTGAACACGGGAGTAGTTCCAGCTTTACTAGGAGGTGCACTAGTACTAGAACAATCTTTGGACGAGTTACTCCGAGAGATGCCAATTCCAAGCATAACCGATCCAGCTATGGCCAAAGCAACACCTATAGCCAGGACTAGGTAGCTGATTATTGCGCGCATCTGAACCCCTCAGCTTTAGGTTTCGCAAAGTGAAGCTTTTATGAACTAACCTCCATTTCCGTTGTTGTTTCAAGATGGTTCGGCGCGAAATGAGCTGATAAGGTGGACTTGAGATAAGTGCAGAGTTTGTGATCGGTGATTTAATGTGCTGTCCGATCTCTAAACATTGTGATCTAAAGCAAACAGTATGAGAGTGGAAGCAATTCTGCGTTTTCTAGAAGTTCACCTTAGCAAAATTATTTTCTACAGAATTTCACCACAGCACTCAAAATGTTCCTCCTAAAAACATTTGCAAACGCTAATTCGCACCGCGCTACTTATGCTAACTCAAAGCAACTTTTATTCTGCAAAAAATTCATGATACTTTTATGATGTGCTCATCGCTAAGAGAGCGAAGATAAGAAGTACTCTTTGCTCACGTTGATTTATGGGTAGATGCATAGATTCAAACATTTTATTTGAAGTTCTGAAAAGTCCTTTTTTGCTCTTTTAGTAATGTAGAATTCTGCGAGTTCTGTGGTAATTCAACATGAGATGACGGTACTCCCTGAACTTTGCAGTGAGCCTTAGGGGACATGATTTTTTGGGCTGTGAATTCCCTTGTTTACTTGCATAAAGTGCAAAGTCTGTTTCACAATACCAACGCAGGGTTCACTGATGAGTTAGGAGGTGTCACCCATACCATAAACCTCTATCAATCCAACATAAGGAAACTGTTCAAACTTCCAGCGTAAGCTCTGGCTTCTCTGTTTAGTATAGAAACGTTGTGAAAATGTAAAGGCGGTCGTCAATAATGTGTTGGCAGAAAGGTCCGGAGAAGGCAGGTGACCCAAAGTTCTGCGGAATCTAACTTTGAATCATAATCAGTTCTAATTCATCACTTCTCCATTATAAGCGAGTAAATAGAGCTCATCGAAATAAGAAACCGTGGTTGATTGTGATAGATTCCACATAGCACATTACTCGCAGCCTTAATCTGAACGAGGGAATTTTACGGAGATAAGCTTTCATATGAAACACAAGTATCGTGCAGACATAGCCTTCCATCTTACAGCTCGTTAGGATCAAGTCCTCAACTTCTGCATAACCCACTTCAGTAATAAAGGGTACTGAATCGCTTCGAAAATCATGATCAAAATCATATTGAGTCCATTTGCCTCGGAAATGTTTTGAAATTCCTCTTCCCTTAGCTGTTTTTACCACATTTCTGATTATGATAGTATTCCGCAATCTGTAAATGCCTACATTTGCAGGTGGTTATACTAAAAGGCTTCACAATAAGGCCGCTCTTAATGACGCCTTTCATTATTCAAGGGAAGTTCGTCAAATTCCGAGCGGAGGACACCAAATGCGATTGATCTAAAAGACTTAAAATGGTGAGATATTGCACTGCATGTGCTTACGATTAGAACTATGGTAATCAGATAGTGTAAAAGCAGATCAAATTTAGAAAGATTTATTAAGTCGGAATAAAGATGTTGTTCAATGGAAAACTACAGCACGAAACCGAGAAAAGATATGAGGGGACCATACGATAGAACGGAGCACACAAGATGACCTTAAACATTAGCATAAATGGTGGTTAAGGAAAATTTGAATCTATGAGCAATGCACGACGCGAAAACTTGGATCTTCGCTCTAGAAAATCATAGATTTTCTCTCTTGCTTCTGCTTATAGATGCGCTCATCCATATGCGCATTTGCTAAATTTTCTCTTCGGTTGGAAACCAAGAAAAAATGAATAACGAAAAATGGCAAACTCCTCTTCCTAGCATCCTAAGTTTCTCCCATACATGCAGTGTGCCACGAACCTCTGAAATTTTGCCCATAAAATGTAGACTGCTAATGTGATCTAGTTCTTGAAAAATATCAGTCTTAGCAGAAAGCATGGTAGAAACGAGGCTTTCTTTTCAAAGCAATAGTGCCAATTATTCAGTGGAATAGCTCTTTGTGAAAGTTCTATTTCTTCTATTCGGTACAAGATCGGTAACTATAGTTTAGGAAACCCTTGCGCGATTCTTTGAGAAGAGTTTGAATAAACGATTTACAATGAAGTGCTGCGTTACATGTGATTTACAAAGTCGAATCGTTGAAATTTATTAACGGAAGAGCAGATCCTCAACAAACTTTACAAATCACGCAACTTCAGTCTCCGTAGAAATACTCAGCATTTAGTATGGAAAAAAATGGCAAAACACTGCCAAAACTAAATACAGCATATCTGACTAGCTGATAATGACAGATCAGATGTTTTCACAAACTGTTATAGAATCTTGTTGGTCACAAAAGAAAGGCAGTGGTCAAAGGCCGGCATTTTGAGTGTGTAAATTTTTGCTAAGCTCTTGCCTGTACCCGATCTTCATATTGAGAAAATTATATTTGATTTTGAAGAACATTCAATGCGCACAATAAAGAATTGTGTACGATTGATATCTGATTTGCCAGCTCGTCACTCAAGCCGGGCAGCTCATTTGTCTCATTCGTTGTGGCGGCAATCATATCACTCAACTAAAATGGAATAATTTCGTTTTTATTTTTAATACTGGAGAAAAATATTAAAATTTACCACTTTGTAGACTTGCTGCATCACAACGCCAGAGTATGTGTTGGTTGTGCTCACTGAATATAACACATGCCGAGCCGTTGGGTCTTCTGGAGTACCCCGTGGATTTACAAAACAGCGCTCGAAACTAAAAATGAGATTATTATTTCACTTGTTTTGTCCTCTGAAAGTGATTGAAAGTATTGAGAAGTATTGAAAAACCTCACTTTATAAGCTTGTCATTATAATGGCTCCTGACCAAAGGCTCCACCGTCCTGGAAACTGGAGAAGACTCCAGTAGGAAAGAGCTATCCAGTAAATTCTGAAAATAACCAAGGTGCGTCGAAAGGAGCTGTGAGACAACCGTAAGAAATTTGGAGACATGAGAAATGAGCTAAAATGCGACACACCTCAGCTGTAGTGGTCATTTGATTCAGCTGCTGAAGACCGGCGCCGGTGTAAGCAGTCAAATTTGTTGATATAATTGCTCTAGCCAGATCCGGTATGTAGTCTCGTAAGATCTTTGTCGATAGAGTTGTGAGACTAAATATTGTGATTTGGCAAATCTTCTATATCGCTCGAAGATGCGGAAATTAGCTTAAGAAATTAACTACTCTGAGTCAATTCTTTCCCTATATATAGTATGTAAATGCTTTTACATGGAAGAATCTACGGAGTTGTGCTTTCAGATTTTTCGCAATCTGTATGCAACTCATATATTGTGTCATAACAGTAGATTTACTGATGGACCAACACAAACAGTTTTCTTTCGTGGCAAACAGTGCGGGATTGAAAAGTCTAACTCAATGGGATTCATGCATTTCGACGGGCACAAAAAGTTCTTGAGGGTGGAATTTGTAGATGTTTTTCTAAAAAACTGCTGTAGCGAGAAGCTGTAAGAACAGCTGTAGATCATAAGTAGTTTCTTACCAAAAATCACTGTAATTGCAGGGAACTACCGCAAATCTATTTCACAAAACTCTAAAACGTCGCGAAAGGTTAGGCATCAAATTCACCATACTGGGAGCTAAAGCATGACAAACTAAGGGTAGAAAATGATAGTAGGTAATGATAGTAATTTTCTGTGTAGGGTCGTAAAAAATCGGGACCGATTGAGCGTTTCTATAAAAGTTACGATTTTCGAGCAAGCAATTCAAAAGGACAAATTTGATTTATTTTGGCATTTTTCAGGGAAATCGTAACTTTTCATAAAGATGCTCAATCGGCGCAAACTTTGCACAATTAGAAAGAGCTGGTGAAAAAACCTACAATACCGAGTGCTCCGATTTTTGTTGCATGTTTCCGATTTTTTATGACCCTACACAGAAAATTCAAATTTTGACCACTTTTCTTCTATCGCTCCTATCTATGCAACAAATATTATTAGTAAGCATCTGAGATGTCGTTATAAAGAGCGAGACTTACTCTTTCATGCAAAAATAAAAGCAGTCAAATCGGTTGGAAAAATCAGAAGTTATGAATTTTTGAAAATCGTGCGCAAGAACTTTCGGGACGATCCAATATAATATTAGGTTGGTGCAAAACTTTTGTCAGTTTTTGCAATCCATCGGCAATCACGCCAGAATAAAGATAAGCAAAGACTTCAAAACGTATGATGCAGAATTTCTTCCTCTTTCCAGCTGCTAAACTCCCATTGTGTTTCGGTGAGAGAGTGGTGAGATATTCGCTGGAAATTGCAACCATTCGTTTTTACCATCTCCAACTTTCGCTAATTTTCAAAATTTTTGTATGAGACTTTCGAAGGAGTCCTGACAGCCAGCAGATAGGGCTAACCTTTTGCCAACTTATGCAATTTTTCCTTTTTATCAGCAGCTTTTCCAGGTTTTTTCTAAGTAATTTTCTAAAAGTCTTGTGTTTTGGAAAAATTGCATAACCTGTTATTGCACCAAACACCTGCAAAACCTACAGGAAACTGAGGTCCACATGATTATTACTACCGCTACCATAACAAATTAAATGAGCGATTTCCGCTTCAAATTATGAAGATTATGAAACATAGGTTACGCCTGTGCGCACTCCTGAAATTAAATACTGCGATTTTCTCCACAAATTTCTCCTGTTTCGGCAAAAAATACATGTATTGGAAAGAGGAAAAAAATCTACATCGAATGGTGACTGAAGTGCTCAATATTTTATGTTCTACGAGATCAAAATAGGCTGAATGTATAATTTGATCACTTCAAAAAATAAATCGTAGAAATTCTGAAAGACAAGCTGTAGGGCTACAGAAAATTGCATCTGTTAGCAAAAGGTTTGCTCTATTTGTGGATTATTAGGGCTCCTCCGAAAGTCTCATACAAAAATTTTAGAAATTAGCGAAATTTGGACATGGTGAAAACGAGTGGTTGTAATTTCCAGCAAATATCTCGCCACTCTCGCAACAAAACTCAGTGGGTGTTCAGAAGCTGGAAAGAGGAAGAAATTCTGCATTGGATACATTTTTAAGCGTTTGTTTATCTTCATTCTGGCGTAATTGCCGATGGATTGAAAAAACTGACAAAACTTTTGCACCGACCTAATAGTATCCACAGTATCTATCTCTTACATAGAATTCATTTCTAACAATAAGTATTTAATTTTTCTTGGAAAGTTATTCAGTAATGGTGAGCTACTCAGATTGACTGGTGATAGGAACACAAGTAGATAACCTGTATGGTATAGTAGGAGCATCAGCAAGTTTGACAGCTAACTCAATCCAGTACTGCCCGATCGCCGTGTGGATCTGAAAAAAGGCACAATAAATTGACTAAATGTAAAAAAACTCTTATTCACAGCGAAATTGTCAGTATCCATCAAGTGTTCACTGGTAAATGGTGTTTCATACAGTGTGTGATAAAGTGGATATGTGTGATGCTTGTCCATGTCAATCCAAGCAAAATTCAATGAAGGAACTCCTGAAAAGTAGAAGTGGTACATTTCCTTTTAGTGATTTATGACTACCTAAATAGTCCAAAAAAGACTTGTGATCTGATCCACCGAAAGGAATATCGATAGTAGGTACTCCTGGATTTCCAGGATTTTCCATGTTGTTTATCCTGAATTTGATGATATATCACATAAGCCTGTTTTTTGAGGCCATAGGAGACATAGTAGGAAGGAGACATGCGAATTTTTTGGGGGTTTCAGGGCGCTAAGTATCAGATGATGAAAGACTCAGCTTCTTTAGAGGCGTTATTTTGCTTTTCATAAACTAACTGGAGTCCTAAAAATTTTTCTCTTCTAAATGTTGCTCAAATTACTGACTTTTCGCAAAACATTATTTTAATCCCTTTTCAACTCTTCAAAACCTTTTTTAGCTAACGATAGGTTCAAAATTCCTCTAATAACAGACCATGTATCATAGACTGTAGGTCTTTTCGCTGCAACTTCATCCCTTCTAGGGTTTGGAACATTTTTAGCAGCAAGTATAGCTTGGTCCTGCAACGATGGAGAGCACTGCACGTATCTGAAAACAATTAGTGTTGTCCTGATGACAAGATATGACGGCTTATTTGTAACTTAATACGCGTATTGCACATCATGCGCGCTATTTGACGTCTTGTAAGCTCAGAACCTGTCCAATCCCATTTTTCCTTTTTTTTTACTTGTCTTTTTGATTTGATTGTATATGTGCTCGTTACTAATGCACTTTTTTTACAGTTTGTTTTGCAAAGGAGGTTTTACTGAGGGCTACAATAAGGGTGTCGTCAGTTTCCGCGCATGTGCAGGCCCACATACTAAGTTACAAATGACTCGTAGTAATATACTTTGACTAACATGGTTTGATTGCCTTTGAGACAGTCCATGTTCAGATAAGCAACAGCACGCCTATTGAGTATTTCAGCAAACTCTTCAACAAATTCTACTGAACCAACCAATCCATATTCTTCAGCATCCCATGCGGCAAACATTATCGAACGCGCTAAAACAAATGTTTTATCATAATAGTTCGCGTTAATAAGCTATTCCCGGAAGAAGGCGAATGCCCATATAAGATAAGCGCGGCAAATGCGTTGGACGTGCGGAGCATACTCTATCTCTACAGAATGATCCACATGAAGTGTGACGCACAAAACCTTTCGTAACTTTCCAAGAAGTCAACACTTTTATCTTTATCTGATAGTTAAGAAAATTCTGTATAAAACCCTGTAGACGATGCTTCTGATGCTCTATCAAGATATCCACGTCCGGCTTTAGTAAGAGAATTTGATCTTCTTGGGAAATTTCTACAATTGTGGTTGGTCGTGGTTGTGGTGAAATTTTGTCTCAGGCTCTTGCTAGGTCTCTTTTTGGCAGACTGAGTGGTTTGGGTTTGAAAGAGCGGGCTTTTTGCTCGCAAACAGACCAGAAAGAGAATTCGTGGGATCAAGAATGGGGATCTGGAAGGCGAAACATTGTTTGTTCAGAAGTGGCTCACACGAAGATTGACGGGCTGCCAAAAATCCATTTTATGTTCTATTTCATGTCAAGTTTTAGTGATAGTCGTCTTCTCTGCATTCTTTTGTAACATTGTGGTCATTTCTGACATCGATCCTTACTTAAAATTTATCCAGCTAGAGTTTTACTAGCCGCAGTCGTTATAACGCGAAAATCGCAAGTTAGAAAATCTGAAAAAAGCATCAGAAGCAAACTCTGAAGGGCCGTGGTATATACTTTCTTCGGTTGAGGCAAACACTTTGAACGCTGTTTGGAATCTTTTAGCATGACTAGGCAAGAACACTCAAAAGAAAGATCTGTATAAAATCCATCTTCCGGGCATGAAAAGAAATGTTCGGTCTTCTGTGTAAGACCCTCGCCCACTCTCAATCCCACAAATGCTCTTTTCTTCTACCCGAAAGAAGAAAGCCTGCTTTGAAAACCTAGGTCACTTGATTTGTTAAAAAGAAGTCTGCTGAGAGTTAAGGGAAAACTAGCGCGCGCAATTTGAAAATTTTTCAAGGGATTTGGGAGAGAATAAATGCTTTTACCAAAGCCGGTGGGGAATATCGCAAGATCAGTTTTAATGAACGTATAAGAATTTTCATCTCTATCAAATGACCGCAGTTTTTTCATTTCATTCAGTCCTTGCAAAGTTATGAATTTTTTCTTGCGTCACACACTCACTTTATGTGGATCACCCCGTACATCCTATGCACTAGCGAGGGGGTGCTTGGCCGCGTCACCCCGTCTCGCGTCACTGAACCGTCCGCCTTCTCCCGGGATTAGCCTTTGACTTACCTGGGCGCCACCCAGTTCTGGACATCACCGCTGTCGTAGCTCTAGCAACCTCAGCCAAGACAGCAGTTCCTGCATTGGGGTCCATGGCACCGTAAGTCCATGCATCATAGTGATTTCCTAGTATTACATAACGTTCCGGCTCCTCTGCACCTTTTATGTAACCGATAACATTTTGGATTGTTCTGTAATATTTGTGATAGTTGTCCTGCAGTGAGGCAAAGAACAATGTCTTACTTTTGTGCAAATTGCCCACCAACTTTGATTCTGGTCACTAAGTTTCCCTTCAAACCAGGGCCCAAATTATAATCGGCGTTTAGGTCTCCTAAAAATTGTCAGTATGTTAGGAGGCACCTGTTTTTGCTGCACGTGAGTACTGAAGATCTGAAAAGACAAAAAAGAGAAACGAAACGGGGTTGAAAATATTGTCAATCGTTTGTTGGGATTCCTGTTTAATATCTGATATTTCGAGTAAAACGTCGAAGCAAAATCGCTAGTTTTTTGAAAGATTCTCCAAAAAAAAGTTTTTTTAGACAATAATTTCTATTTTTCTTTTGTTCCTTGCGACCACACCTCCCCAAAAATTTGTCTGTCAATTTCAACCATTTTGTACTTGAACACCAGACTAAGTTACCAAACCTTTCCATGACGAAGGTGCTTGGGGACCACTCAACCGAGAAATCAGTTCTTGAGCTGAGAAATACGATATTGGCAACACAGGAATAGAAGGAAGTTCACCATCTTGGCGAACCTTAAATGAACAAGTACAATTGACTTTTTCCATCGAGGACCCGGTGCAGACCTGCTCAACAGTTCTAGATCTCCAGAGATTCGACTTTGATGGATAGAGTGGTGAAAGTGGGTCTCCAGCTCCTTTATATACAGTTCCACGTTGAACAGCGTGTGGTGGCATATAGACGGTATTCGCGTAGACGTTAGCTAGAATGTCGTGAAATTTTTGAGTAACCTTTGGTTCAACTGGCTTGGCGGCCGAAAGGCGGGGCTTTGTGACCTAATTAAGGATGCTCGCGGCCGCTACGCAGTCTGCGTTTCTCCCGCACGCGTTATACCTAACCTTAACTAGGTCACAGAGCCCCGCCTTCCAGCCGCTAAGCCAGTTGAAATCAAATGGTATTGTGAGAGCATGCTGTTTACCATCTGCGGTCTCTTTTGGCGCCACTTCAGCCGGGTCTGAATAAAGTATAGCCGCTTTGGCGCCATATTTTTGTGCCATCGCTACCGTGTCACCACGGAAGGCTCCACCATATCGAATCAAAGCTATTCTACCCTGTAACGCGAAAATTTTTACGATGTTCTCATTTATGATTAGAAGCCAAATTTCAAAAAAATTTCAACATTTGCCAACAAAATAAAAAATTGCATCTCTTGAAAAATATGAAAAGCTAAACTATTCTACGAAAATCAGTTTTTAATTGATCTTAGAGCAATGATATAAGATATAGGATCTGATATAATCAATAATTGATTTTCGAGAGTCAACTGGATATATGATGTTGTTTCAGGATTATTTTTTTGTGATGTTTGCCGTCTGCGCTGCAACTGGTATTGTAAAAATCTTCATCTCAACCAAATGTGGGGAAATCATAAATGAAATCAAGAAAATCATAATGATTTTTCTTCAAGCTTCTTTCTGATAGAGAAAACGAACCGGGAATGGGATTCTATGTGTTTCAAATAACATACCACATTTTATCGTTCATTATTCTTCATTTGCAATTTTATTGTACAGAACTTCTACTATTCTCAGATATTTGTAGTTTTTGGTAGCTTTAGTTTTGTACTAGGGAGAAAAATGAAGCTACCAAAAACTATAAAAGTGCTGATACTTCATGATATGAAAGTAAGTAGATCAAACCTTGACACTTATTCCAAGAAGTTCAAGCATTTGGAACTCCTTATCTGTACCGAATCCACAATAAACTACATCTCCTACCACATTACCATTGGGAGAAAAAGCTAACCATTGTAGACCAGCATCTCAAATTTAGTACGTATCAACAATGGCTGCAATCCATTCAAAAACCACAACCCCACTTGTATCGTTCTGCTCAGGAAGAATAGCCGGAGTAATGCCTTCACTTGTGTAGAGAACAGTTCCATCAGAGCTTTCAATGGTCATAAGGTTTGGATTTGTTGTGGGAGGATAGGACAGGAGCACATCGTATTCAACTTTGTGGACATCTGAAATAATCAATATATTGATTTTTTGGAATGCACTTTAAAAGAAATCGTGTAAAAAAGAAAAGAAATTCTTTAAAAATGCGTTGTGAGCACTACAATAACAAAATCCACCCATACTTTTTAATCCTGCAGCTGTCCATTTAGCTGCGATTAAGTCGGCCACATTGGCATTGGCATCTGTACCTGCCATATGAGGAAATTTTGTGAAATCTCGAAGATTCTGCTTGATTAGCCCAGGATTAATTTCGTTTCGGATTTGCTGCGAGATTGTTTCCGGCTCAACATCTGGAAAACATTTCTTTTTAACTAACTTGATTTCGTGGGACGGAAGAAGGTATCTTGAACATACTGGGAGGACGAGTCGCGGTAACAGTTGCAGGAGTTGCGGTAGTTTTTGTGGATGTTGTGGAAGTTGTGCAATCTCCGGACGAGTTATACCGAGAGATACCAACTCCTAGCATAACAGATCCCGCTATGGCAAGCGTGATGCCAACACCGAGGATCAGATAGCTAATCCATGCACGGTTCTAAAGAGGTTACGCTATAGAACATTAGAAATTGATTTCCGGTAAAAGAAACATACTTCCATTTGCGCTGCTGTTGATGGAACGAGCGTGAAATGTTGTGATAAGGTGCAAATTAGTGATAAGTGTTTCGTACCCCATGATCGATGGTCTCGCGATGAGAGAGACCGTGAGTCTTACAATTTATCCAAGTAATTCTTAGATCTGATATTTTTCCCATGCAAGCCTTTGTTTGCCCTTTCAGCGAGTGTTCTCAAAAAGTGGTAGCGGTTGTAAAAGTCAGAACAATGAATCATACTAGGTTGTTTTGGAAACCATCCGCTCAGCAAGTTTTCTGATTCAAGACGCTACAATTTTTCTTCCAAAACACCATTGAATAATTTCAATTTCCTTGAATTAAACAAGTTTTCATTATAATGACGATATAAGTGTAAAAAATGCAGGCGCGAAAAAACAAGAATTCCAAAATTCTACCACTCTTTCTTCAAGAATAGAGATAGCAAGGCTCTCACGTAGGAGCAGACTTTGTTTGGTCGCCAATATTAAGTACCCTAGATTCCACGGAGTATCTTGTAGCTAATGAATCATGTAATCTTTGTTGCCTAGAAATTTCTATAAGCAAGTCAAGGGTTGCTGCACAGTCTCTGCGCGTAAGTATGCCGAATTTTTAATTTTTCACTTTTCTCTTATCGTGGGACTCTTCTATGCCGTACAGGTCTGAAAGACAGTTAGTTTGTGATAGACTGTATGATAGCGCTGTACCACGCGAAATTGCGTAGTGTGCTTACGGAAAAGCTGGAGACTGCGCAAAATGTGGCGTCGTTTACTAAATTGCATATATGAGCTGCTCTTCCGTTTATATGGGAAAACAGATCGGCCGCTAAGCGTAAGGTCAAGCGAGCATTTATCCAGCAAGAAACGACAGTATAGTGACACTAAAGACACAGAAATGTAGAGAACAACGGTGGATTACAACATCAGATGCAAGATTCTGGCCTTCGAAAACCAAATCGCTGCCCGAAAGGCTCATGGAGCATCTTACCTACTTGCCCATGACCCACAAATGAACGGCAAGCTTGAAAAGCTATATGTTATAAGTGATCTACGCCGTATCTTACGTTATGCGAACTGCGAGATTGCTACCTTTGCTTAAGCCATCTCATAGCAATTCAGCTGCTCTCGACAAGTTACTCGAGCACGTTCTGAAGTAGCGTATGCTGCTGCCACGGTCACCGTGGTAGACTTACCCCGCTCTTTCGATCTCCACCCAAGATGAACGAATACGGGGTTGGAAGAGGTGTTTGGCGGCAAGGAAAGTGATATTAAAGTGGCTGACTCCTTTCCAGCTTTTTGAAGACGGTGTTTAACCGACATAAGGCAGCAATAACGTATGCCACCAATAAAAACCTCTGCGGCACAGAAGAATTGTTCAAGTTCAAACTGGTGCCCAGGTTAGAAGAAAAGAGGATTTATAGTATGTATCAGGTTGATCAAATGTTCTGCCAAAAGTTGGGCTGTTTTGTTCAAATTATAAAAGCATCAAATGTAGTTGTCAATTTGAGAAAGAGAAATTTTAACATATGTGATAGCAATCCTATACTAATGATCAAGCATATCAAAGGCTCACTTCTGTTAGAAGTGCGCTGGAGCGATTCATTCACTAATTCAAGCGCTGCCTTCCAATCGATGCATTCAACACCGATTTTGAAGGAGGGCGTGCAGGAGTTCCTAGCACCTTTTCTCGCACCAAGTTCGCACCAGCATTTGCACCCAGGAGGGTTCTAGCACCTCCGCGTTTCATAGGTCAAGCCATGCCCATTGTTTCACCCAATCACAGTATCATTGCGAGGTTTGCAAGCATCGAGAACTAGATCCAGCTATTAAGGGTAACTAGTTGGCAACCACCCGGCTCCGCCCGGCCCTGTCAATAACATTTCATTTTCATTTTCATTTTCATTTTCATTAAATACGCTCAAGGCGTACCATGAAAAAAACAGAAACAAACAGTGTTGTTAGTTTTACACAAAGCATGAATAACAACAGAACATCATATGCTTCAGGCCCAGACTTCATAAAACTAAAGAATAACGACTTAGCTTGCAAGAAGACTGCTGGATATTACGAATGTCAATGATGAGTTATATCCACAGAGATGGAACCCATGCCCCCGCGTTAGCCAGCAAACGATCTTAAAGTATTCAAACAAGCAAACGACGGCGGGTACATACCCACCGGCCTGCCGGGGAGAGCCCTAAACCCCATGAGCATTGCCATATGTGCAAAACAGAATATCGTCAAGTACTGCACAACGAATGAATCTAAACAAATTGTTATCTAAGGAGATGGTACCCATGCCCCTTCGTTTGCTAGCCACGATCTCAAAAGATTTCCAAGAAAAAACCGGAATTTATAGTTCAACCAGTTTGCCGAGGAGAGCCCAACTCCAAAGCAAGAATAAGCATAATATGATCTTCAAGCAATCAAAGCAAGCAAGCTGTGCGAAACAGGCTAAAATATAGATGTGACCAGGCTTGAACCACATGATGAAGAGAACAGTGTTAGTGAAAGGCTCAAAAGCAGTTGAGTTCAACATATGCAAAGTTATAAACTGGCTGCTAGTCAGTGCATATTCGTAACCCAATCATGCTCATTGCGCATGTCTGGTTGTAACCGCGCAGTCATAAAAGAAGGGAAGTAAGGTACGTTGAACCTACAAAAAAAGTCATTCAATCTTCTTTTTTTAAGCTCTCTTCTGAAAGAGGAACTTTTCAGACCTAGCCATGGAGTGCATTCTCTATTTATTTCCGTCACTTTGGTGGGCGACAACAATTTCGTTCCTTATTTGAGCAGGAGTTTTTGTTCGCACATCACTGCATGCCAAAAGTTCGTGTGATAATTCTTGTAACATTTTTGATGTGCGAACAAAAACTCCTGCTCAAATAAGGAACGAAATTGTTGTCGCCCACCAAAGTGACGGAAATAAATAGAGAATGCACTCCATGGCTAGGTCTGAAAACCCAGTACTTGGAAGGCCTCAACCTGGTTTCACCCCTAAAAATCCTGAAAGCTAATATGATATCATGAACAACTCTCCGATATGTAATGCTTTCAAGATCAAGAATTTTCAACCTCTCTTCATAACTAGGAAGTAATCGGGGGTAAGCTGGATTAGAAAAACAGCGGTAGAAAAGCAGTTTTGTGAACACTTTTTGAACCTTCTCCAATGCCTGCTTGTGCTTCCTCAGGGAGGGGCTCCAAACTTGAGTCGCATATTTGAGAACAGGAATAACAAGGGCTTTATAAAGTCTCAACAAAATTTTTTGATCAGTTGATTTGATGTTTCTAAAGATTGTGTATAAGATGGAAAAAGCACGGGAGGTGACGGAGGCGACCTGTAGATCCGGTTTCAATCTCGAATCTATCAGAACTCCCAGATCTTTGACGAATGTTTTGTTAATCAGTGCTATTCCATTGTGCTGATAATGCACTTGTTCTTCGCCACCGATGTGAAAAACGGAACTTTTAGCAATGTTAACAGAAATATCCCACTTTGTACACCAGGCAATCATGAGATCAATAGAATGTTGTAAAGCTTCTTGGATCTCATAGCGATTTTCATTGCTGTACATTCCGTATATTTTTATGTCGTCTGCATACATAAGTACATGATCCGGGGTGAGTTTTTAACAGCTGGGGTAAATCAGCAGTATAGACCGTAAATAGAAGGGGAGACAGAACACCTCCCTGAGGAAGCCCACTAACGCAAGGAAAACGCTCAGAGTGTTCATTCCAACGCGGACAGTCATATGTCTAGATTGGAGATATGACTTGAGCCAATCAAGTAAGGCGCCTCTGACCCCATAATGCTCAACTTTGTACAGCAATTTAGCATGACTCATACGATCAAACGCTTTGGAAAGATCAAAGTAGATAACGTCCACTTTCTGTCACAACAAGATAGCATTGACCCAATCATGAATTGAATCGATCAACTGGATAACAGTAGAAGCACCATTAACAAAGCCGTGTTGCTCTGGAGGAATAATTTTGAGTCTTTCGAACCACTCCAAAAGTTTATCACGAATTATTTTTTCCAAAACTTTGCATGGGACGGGATTGATGCTAATAGGTCTGAAGTCAGAAACCACTTGAGGTTTACTGACTTTGGAACGGCTGTGACAATAGCTTCTTTCCAGATACTTGGTACCTCACCACACATGAGGAAGATGTTAAAGATGTGGGAGAGAGGAGTAGCAAGTTCTTTAGCATATCGCTTGAATACTATCTGTGGGATTCCGTCAAAAGTTTCAAAAGTTGAATTTTTGAGACTTTTGAGATAGCGTTCTACCGTAAAAGGCATGATAATCGGAGCTGAGCATATATGCGCCACAGGCGCCCCAAGAGATACTGTTGAAGAAGAAGTCGTAGTAAATGTGCTCGCAAAGAAAGCACCTAACGCTTGAGCTTTGGATTAATTAGTTAGGCATACATTATCCGACTTATCGGAGTGACTGGAGATGATGCGGGTATTTTAGATATCCAATTTTGCGAGTCTCAAATGGGGTAAATCTCCCTAAGAGCTCATATAGGACACAGGAAAACCTGTAGTACACTTCCGATGAACTGCTATAAAGATCAAAGCATTCTTCCCAGTTAACTTCATTAAGCTCTTTTTTCAATGAAGTAAAATCAATCTTATTAAAATTTGGTCTTGGTATAAGGTCGCATTTTGGAGAGGTGAATTCAAATCGAAAATCGATCACGTTATGATCCGAAGTGACAAAGGGAGCTCTAAGGAATAAGTTAGAGATGGAACAGAAACCTGCTAAAACCAAATCCAGTATAGCATCATTACGTGTCGGCTCCGTCACAAACTGCTGCAATTGCAATCTTTCAAAGAGGTCAAAAAATTTCTTAACATTTAAGCTGTTCGGGCATTGAAACCCTTGAGAGTATTTGATGGGTAAGTTGAAGTCACCAACAATCAAGGTGTCTGTGCAACATAAAGCAGAAGCGGATAGCAAGTCTAAAAGGGCTTCATCTGAGTCAGCATTAGAATTCGGAC